CGATAACATGTCTGTCCCTTCAAGAAACGAGTCAATGAAGTCTCTTGAGAAGGGATGAGGCACCCCGCGGCCGGTGCATGCGATTCCCTTTTCCGGGCTCACGGAACAGTTTCTCAGCCACCGGGTCCCTCAGCAAAAGAACGAACCCTCGTCGGGGAGAGGGAAACCGGGACGGTGAAGAAAACGAGCCTGCCGACAGCCGGACGCTTTCTCTGGCACCGGCAACCAAGCAGGAAGGATGAACACAGAACTCCCTGGAGAGCCAAGGACGTCAACAATCGAGGTGTAAGCGTCTACCCTTTATTATCTGCCTAGAGTGAAAGTGCCTCTACGCGACATTTACGCGTTATTGCTACCGTAGCGATAAAGTGTTGTTTTGTTGATCTAGCCTGTCGCCTTATTCGCCCAAACCCATGTACCTGCGATGACTTAAGCTACGGAAAGAAGACGTTAATTGTGCACGGTACGACTGTGTGCGGCTAGAACATCAACTAAGCTTCTACGTCAGATGCACATAGGACAGATACCCTATAACACTAAACAATGAGCTATTGCAGATGCCAAGAAAGATACAGTATCCAGATGTGCAAATCAAGAACACAGTTAAACCACGCATAAATAAAAATGTCAATAAGTTCGGTAATGACACAAGGAAGCACAGCAGATTACCCTTATGGCGATAGCAATTATCATAATGCTTGATAAGAAAACTTGACGGCATTCTGGATAAATTCAAAGTGCAATAATATCCTGTTGCACCCCACAAGCAGAAAAGAGGAGAGGGAGAGCAGCCATCCCGTTATCTACTCAGCGTGGCCTTGAGTAGTTGGGTAAGAAAGCACAGTTTACGAAAGCTGTAGTAGCGAGAGAACCCTTTCTTGCAAGTAATCTGCGGCTGTTTCAAAGACTGAATGAGCCAACACCTCCTTGAGACTGCCTCTGCTAGCAGCTATGAATGTGTGCGATTTTAACATTGAACTACAGAGTGCACATTCCGTAAAGAACATAGAAGAGGACATACAGCATAGTTCTTACGATGCATGTGGGCTCTGCTATGTGCTATATTGAATCGGCACTATGCCGAATAGCGTTATGAACCAACAAATTAAGAAACATTCCTTCAAGAGCCCGTAATGAATGAGCTCACACTATCCCAAAAAGTCTGCGAGAAATGGCCTCATTATCCTGACTAACAAATGTCGGTAATGCCACATTCATGGTACATTTGGTGTGTTATGTTGCACTATGATGCATACTGTGTCCTTGTGTTCAAGTGGTTGACATAGTATCTCAATAGTCTTTCAGGTGAAACTGATTTCTTTCGACAAAACGCACCATGTTAGCGGAGTTAGCCAGAAAGGCATCTCTCTTGCATCAAAGTACTGAAGAATGTATGAAAAGCATAAATACCTGCACGGCAATTATTCATATGTAGAGTTAAAGGGGAAACTGCTCTTGTAATTTATTTTAATAATTATTTGATTCATAAAGCTAACTGAGTATGAATATCTGTGTCCTTAATTCAAACATGCAAATTCTGCTCTAAGACTCTTTGTAGTTTCAAAATGTAAAACATACCACGTGCCTTTCTGGGAGCAAAATTTTTCCTGAACAGAGAGTTACTCAATAAATCAGTACATGACAATCTGGAATAAGAAATGTAGGCAGTGCTACAAGGATAGATGTCTTGAACATATTTTAACAAACATTATGGTACGTTGGAACATTTGTGAGCAAAATCCCAGGTTGACAGATCCACTTGCTATTACAATTTCAGTTCAGAATCATCGGTATAGATCTACTCCATGTTTGCAAGCAGTGGTAGGTGCTGTCGATATATTTAGGGCCCTTGTAGTGACGCTGCGATGCGCTGACTCTGCCGAGACATCACAGGATTAGATAGGATGTCGCCCTAACTGCAGCTGGCCAAAGATTGCCTCCATTTTTTGCTAAAATTAGCGCATTTAAGAAAGAACATTTCCAGGTTGGTTGGGCATTTTGGCACAGCTTGGTGAAATTTCAACAAATATTACAGTTTTTGCTCAACTTGCCGCACAAATAACGACACACACAAGGACAAACAAACGAAAAAAACATCGTGAAAAACAAAAGGGGGTGGGAAGAGGGTCTCAATCGCAAGCGCCAACATCAGGGTTGCAGTCTTATAGTGGCTAGAAGTAGCCGAACCTTCGAGAGTAGAGTTTTTCACCAAGGTGAAAGTCTCAAAGAATCAACCCAACTAGCAGAATCTATTTCGGTCAAAACAACTTGCGTGTGTCGTGTGTCTTCCTGGGACACACGTGAACGGACGGGAGGGCGCAGCTGGCTGCCGCAAAAGCGCGGGTCCTTCTAGTCTCTTTGTCGTCGTTCAGTTCTCGTGCTATATAATACTATTGTCATGTCATACCAACTAGCCCAAACTGTCACATGCGGGTCAAAGCTTTGCTCAATACTAGATTATTTTGACAGGAACGCCAAAATGCGTCTGGCCCTTTTTTATTGCGATAGCATTTATATGAAGAGTCCAGGCTAGTTTTTTTTTTTTGCAGTCGTTACCGCCGCCATCCTTCACTGTATGTGTATACGTATATATATATATATATATATATATATATATATATATATATATATGAACACTCAAAGAAATAAAGCCGCCGGCGCTCGGCGCCAAGCTCGTCGCGATGCGCCGACACCTCCTTGCCGCCTCCTTATCTCTCACGTGTACTTTGCCCCATGAATGAAGAGGGGGGGAGGTGCCTATCCACGCGCGCTTATCTTTTGGTGGGGGAATCGTGTGCCTTCGGCTTTCACTGAAACAAAAGCCTTAGTTGCCGGGCTCACAAAGATCACTTTTGTCTCTGCACAGGAGGGCCCCTTTGCGAAAACAGCGCGCGTTTCATACACAGCGAGGTATAACAACTGGGACATTTGTCAATTTGTACTCATTGGTACCTGTGATTACGTATCGTGCATCGTTTTTGTTTAAACAGCGCGTTACGTGTTGAGCAGTAAACGTTGTTCATTCGCTCTCGTCCTGCGAGCATCGTTTTCGTGCGTCATTTGCGTGTGAGCAGCGCGCTGCTATTTCGATCTGCTTGCAATTCTCAGCGTTACATTCCAAGTTGTTGCTGTCGCATTTATTGATTACCCCTTGCGGCAAAACTACAATTTTTTTATTTTTTACGTATTTACTATTTTTAACCTACAGCAGCGTGGCCTCGAAGCTTGTAAATTGCTCTCGCGTCGCCGCTACCGCAGTTTTGTGCGTGGCGCTTGCGGCAAATGGTAGTTCATTTTGCAATCCCCGTGCGCTTGGATGCACACGCAGCTTCAAAACTAAGTCGTTTTATGCCATCTACGGTAGCATGTGCTGCAGTTTTGTCTGCACAGTTTGCGGAAACCAGCGTTGCTTTGACTGGTTGAGCGCACACTTTTGGGGTTCTGTCAGTCACATCGTCGCCATACATGATCGTGTCAAGAGCGACCGCGGTTTCGGCCACAGTGGTTGTGGCAACGACGATCACACGCACTGTACAAGACAGTGCATGCGCCGGTCGCATACGTACTTCCCAAGCTTCGGGTACATTGCTCATGGCCTTCGTTCGACCCTTCATACTAAAGTTCATATCACCCGCTGCGATTAAGAAATGTGTTCGGAACATTCGAATTGAGGCCCAATGAACATAGTAAAATTTGGTTGGGGAATTTCGAGAATTCATATCTGCCGCGGTTTCGAATCACTGAGATTACACTGTACGTTTAGAGGAACGCCTCTTAAACTCGTTTATAATAAACTGGGGTAGGTTCGAAAAGCCTAGAGCGGATTGAGCTGTTTTTTTGTCAATGCGGCCAGATTATGCACAGAAACTTCGATTTCCGGGAGATTTTCATTGCAACCGTACAACCGGAAAAAACGGTCAAAATTCGGGAGTCTCCCGGCCAATCCGGGAAACTTGGCAGGTATGTAACGAAGTACATAAAATTGGCAAAATTGGCACAGCTATTGCACCACTTGTGAGTGATTTCGTGACAACCCCAAGGTCACATCATTGTTAATATAGCAAGGCCTGTAAGCCTCCCCCAATTTGTTCCTGACCCGTAATATCTGATGAAGTTGCACTGACAAGCACATGTTATAAAATTTGTTACAAGATTCCATCAAAAATCACTGGCATAATCCAGATTCGCGAAGGCACAGTAAAGTGATTGTCTCTGCGAAGTGGCTACTTTTTCTGGCACAGTCTTTTTGCATCAGTTTCACAAAAACCAAATGCATCATAATTGAAGATGCACATAATTCTGCTCTAGCTAATTACAATAAGAAATATAAGTGCAAATCACAAGTAGCAAAAATAGTGCAAGCACTGTTCACTGCGGAGCTTATCTAAGGAGAGCAAGGCCTTAACAATTATCAGCCACTCAAGATGCTTTTTTTCGAACACTGCGAAGCATCTAGCAGCCAGCAATGCCTCTGTAGGAAACGTGCACCAAAGTTTCATGGACAGTAAAAGCTAATAAGAGTAATATCTGCAGTTTTACATTCAAAAACCTAGATATGAGTGACTCCGTATGGTATGGCCTCAGCCATTTCAACCACTTGGTGTTCTGTAACTTGCACTAATATCTAGCAGCGCACAAGCCTTTAGCACTTCACATCCATCAGATTGTGACCGCTACAGCCTAGAAGGAACTCGCAATCTTCGAGTCATCAGCCAAGCACCACAACCCATCTTCCACTGAGAACAGGTGGCCAGTAAAAGCTATAAAATACTTTGAGAAAATGCTTCAATTAAGAGGCACTGAGAGTTTCCCAGGATTCTATTTACAACTTGAAGAGGCCTGTTAACTGTGCTTCTAAACAAGGACAAAAAGAAGGAATAGATGCGAATCTGCATGTCCCGTCTTCCCTCGTCAATGGTCCGTGTTTACTAGCACTAGTGCAGTTAATAGACCTTTGAAACGAATGTTAACCAACTAGCCTGACTAGGTGCTCTACTTACAACTTGGAGGCTCCAAGCCAGCGTCCAAACTGGATACCCTTAGCGGTATTTGATTGTGCCAATAGGAACCAACCTTGTCACTGCACCCAGAATTAGCATCTCCTGCTGGAAGGCCCTGTTGAAATAAACACCATAGACTAAAATCAGTTATTTTGGACCATAATCCACAAAACTGCTCATAGTAAGGTTAGCAGGCTGTAATAAATATAAACATATACAATGGGTTCACAATTGTGTTTTGAAAGTGTTTGTAGGACATGATCATTAAATTTGATGTGCACAGGCAACAACAAAACACGCATGACACACAGACACATGACATATAGCGTCACATGACATGACACATGACATATAGTAGTGTGCCATGCGTGTATTGTGTTTCGCCCTTGTAGCACCATGAAACGGCGCTTCTGTGCGCGAATGCCAACAGCGCAAGCACGGAGATCCACATGACATTTCTTCATTCACTTCAAAGAAAGTAATGTTCAGTTTTTGTTTGAGACTTGTGTGGCTTATCTCGCTTGTGCTACCTGCTCGCCCAGCTCGGCCTAGTAGATCGTTCCAATATTGGTGACCCAGAATTGTGGTGCAGCTACTGGAGTCGAGCATCAACAGCACTATGACTTCAACGTCAACAACAGACTCCGTGACTATGACTGACGTCCACAACGACTGCTGCGCCAACAGACTCCTCAATCGACAGTAAGCTGCCACCCTTTTGGACTGCGGATCCCGCACTCTGGTTATTCAAGTAGAAGCCCAGTTGATAGTGTGACGCATCACAACAGACTTGACCAAATACCACGTCGCAAGCAGCCTCCCACTAGCAAATAGCCAGTGTAATACGGAATCTCTTACTTGACCCACCTGCGAAAAAGCATATGTAACGTTAAATGAAACTTTCATTCACCATGTCACGTCCCCCGAATCACGACTACAGAAATTGCTTCACGACATGAACCTCGGCGACCGTACTCCTAGTCAACTGTTGCGGCACATGCAACTATTGGGCAGCGAAACAAGCAGCTTAGAGCACTGTTTCGAGAACATTTTTCTGCAAAAGCTGCCATCAAATAATCGCTTGGTTGTCGAGGTGTCACAGAAGAAAGACCTGCCTGCAGTTGTTGAGCTCGCTGATCGGCTCATGACGGTCACCACGCCCACATCACTGGCTGCCATGCAAGAACAACAAGCTCAGGATGAACTTCAGCGAATGCGTGCAGATATTTCTCGACTCACCTAGACGTTATCAGCTTTGGCGGTTTGGAAATGCTTTAAGTTGCCTTTGAAGGGGCCCTGAAATGCTTTTTCAAGTAACCACGAAATTAATTCACTGGAAAAGCTTATTTCCTCACAAATTCAATGCCACAAAAATTTTAAGAATACGTCCAGTGCGAGTGGAGTTACAAAGCTTTGTCGCATGCTGCAATTGCATTCTCTCTTCTCTCGTCCCGACTAAAGCACTGGAAGCTAAGCAGGGAGGGATGGCAGGGCCACATAAAAACGTCACACGTGCCTCGTGGCCTTGAGCACATTTTCTTTTACTTTTTTCTTCGAATATGCCGCTCTTTCGGTGTGATCGTACCTGCATGCGTGAACAAAACGCGGCCTCCCACAGCGCTCTCTGTAACGAGCGAGCGTGCCATGTTCAAATCGGCTAATGGCTGATAGATGAGTAATTCACGTGTGATTTTTGGGCATAATCTGCCACATGTCGAGAGAAGAGAAAGCAATTTTTAGCTGACTTTGGTAATTTATTGTGAATTCCAGGCCACATGCTGTGCTATAATATTTGGCCCGCGTGTTGTTGGGAGCCACTACTACCGATCGGCAGAGTTTTCTGACCATGCTCAAAAAGTGTTGAAGGGCCCCTTGAAGTCATCCCTCGGTATTTTTCGTTACCGACTATAACAATGGGGCTTGTTTCTTAGTCGACACAGGCACCGAGGTGAACTTGACACCCGCATCACAAACCGAAAGGAAGAACCCTAGTATATCGCCAATCCAAGCCGTCCTAACACGGTGATAAACATATGGAGATCGTTCACTCACATTGAACTTCAGTTACAACATAACGTTCAAATGGGTGTTCATAGCCGCTGATGTCAAGTTCACCTTATTGGGCGCCGACTTTCTGCAATACTTTGGCTTTATGATTGATGTTCGAAACAAACGGCTCTAGGATCCTGTGTGTCGTGCAGCAGTTCAAAGCAAGCCGTGTTTGCGTCCTCCGCTCAGCCGCACCTTACTCCGTCCATTAAGAGAATCAGACTTCACCAAAGTACAAGAGTTCCCAGAGCTAACGCAACAGCCACAGGCATTTGCTGAAGTAAAACATGATGTTCAGCATCACAAAGAAACCACAGGACCACCACTCTACTTGGCATTTTTCACCCGAGAAGCTACGGCTAGCCCGGCAGGTGTTTTCGCTTACGATGGAACGCGGCATAGTACGCCCTTCTTCCAGCCGGTATGCAGGGGCTTCTTCTCATGGTCCCCAAATTAACAGGTGGTGATTGGCATCCTTGCGGGGATTATAGGGCACTCAACCGTGTGACTGTACCATACTGTTACCTAGTGCCGCACGTTCACAACCTGACCTCCTGCCCGCACGGCGTGAGCATCTCAGAAAGAGATCTGGTGGGAGCATACCATGAGATACCTGTAGCACCAGAGGATTTTCCCAAGACCGCAATAACAACGCCATTCGGAATGATTGAATTTCTATTGATGCCTTTTGGCTTGCGGAATGCTGGCCAAACTTTTCAATGGTTCATGAATGGCATTGTCCGGGGCCTCGACTTTTGCAAGGTTTACCTGGATGACCTGCTGATTGCTAGCCGCACGGTCAAAGAGCACAAGAGTAATCTACGCTGCTTGCTACAGCGACTGGCAAAAACATGGCAGTGTTATCAATACAGCCAAGTGCGTGTTCAGGGTACCAACGCTACCCTCATTTGAAGAGCGGGAGTGCAACCACATCTGGACAAGATCAATGCAATACGGCGGTTTCCACAACCAAAAACCATCCGCCAGCTATGAAAGTTCCTAGAACTCATAAACTTCTACTGTAGGTTCGTTTCAAAGTGCGCCCACATCCGAAAGCAAGCGATATTCAGTGGAACGACCAAGCTATAGACGCGTTTCGACATATTAAGGAGTCTCTCACGAATGCCACCCAGCTTGCATACCAGCAATGTGGGGTACCACTATGCATCATGGTGGACGCCTCAAATGCAGCTATTGAAGCTGTACTACAGCAAAAGTCAAGCAGAAGGTGGCAACCAATTTCCTTCCCCAGAAAATTCAGCCTGGCCTAACGCCAATCTGTCAGCACCTTCGGTAGGGAGTTCCTGGCCATATACGCGGCTATACGACATTTCCACCACTATGTAGAAGTTTGAGAATTTTTGTGCTCACGGATCACAAGCCGCTAACTTGCGCACTGCGCGCGATCAACTCAGATACAAATGCACATGGGGCACGAGAGCCCAACCAAATGTCTTACATTGCAGAATTCACAACGGATATATGCCGTGTCAGTCAAAAGGGATGTGCAGCGGCCGATGCTCTTTCGCGCAGGCCAGTGAACACCGTCAGCCTACCAAGCAGCGTTGACCTCACCAGATTAACTACGGCTCAACGCAGCGATCCGGAGTTGGAGCACCGACTGAAGTCCACAACCAGCACCTTGAAGCTGCAATGGGTGGATAGACAGACAAGATCTGAATGTTGTGACATGTCCACCGGTAGGGCCAGGTTGTTCGTGCTTCCATATCTTCACCTCAACATTTAAGAATTGCTGCCCAGCCTCTCGCATACAAGAATCCGAGCCATGCGACAGCTATACACAGCTAGGTTCATGTGGCCTGAAACAAACTGAGATGTCTGGCGTTTCACTCAGGTGTGCCTATCCTGTCAGCGCTCCAAAGTGCAGCGCCATACTGTGACCCCCTTAGGATCTTTCCACAAGCTGGACACTCGATTTTCCCATGTACATTTGAACATTATGGGATCATTGCCTTATTGTCAAAGGCAAAACTACTAGCTAATTTGCGTCAAACACTTCATGTGCGACGGCCGAAGGCCGTCGCCATCTTAGATATGACTGCCGATACGGTTGCTCATGCTTTCATCTGACGCTGGGTAGAGCGATTCGGAGTTCCATCGACCGTGACAATCGATTGCGCAACGCAATTCGAGTCTACCCTATTCGAGAACATCACGCCGTTCCTAGGAATCTGGTGCATCCAAACAACAACCTACAATTCTATAAACAATGGTATGGTGGAAAGGTTACATCGCCAACTGAAGACTAGCCTGACAGCTAGTTCAAGTCAGAGATGGGTCGAGGCTCTACCTCTGGTTTTATTGGGAATTAGGTCAGCTCTAAAAGCGGACATTGGCTGCTGCTTGGCTGAGCTCGTATATGGCACAACACTTCACCTTCCGTGAAAGTTTGTCGCCGTCAGTAAAAGCACCAACACCAAGGCCAACGACGAGTACGCCTTGCGACTGTGGGACATTATAAGCAAGCTGCGCTTTATCCCTCCACGTCTGCTAGCACCACGACCTGTCCACATCCCCAGTGATCTCTCCTCCTGTTATCACGTGTTCGTGAAGCACAACACTGTACAGCGCCCACTCCAGCCCACTTATGATAGGCCATTCAAGGAGGTGAAACAAGGAGAAAAGTCCATCACGATCGACAGAGGTGGCAGTCATGACGTAGTTTCGCTTGACCTCGTAAAACCACCACACGTGAACAGCAACAGTGAAGTGCGTGCACTATCTCAAGTTCCACAGCCATAAAGGCTACCAGCAGAGCAGACTGAACCAGCTCACCTACTCGTTGAAAGGTTCACGCGGAGTAGACAATGCAGAAGACCTCCGGTGCGAATGAACTTATGAACCACAATGTGGTGTTGATACATTTTCCGGAGGCAGTGCTTGAATGCCAACAGTGCAAGCACGGGAAACCACGTGACTTTTCTTCATATACTTCAAGGAAAATAAAATTTCAGTTCTTTGGGACCTGTGTGGCTTATCTCAGTTCCGCTCTCTGCTCAGCCAAGCAGTGCATTCTAACACCCCCGTCTGTTTGTGCACTTACAA